TAATTATAAATATGTCATGCTTTCAAATTGTGTTTTTGTAGGAAATTCAAAAGTAATAAATCCTAAAATAAATTCTTAACCATCTTATTTTAGATTTTATGAGATTTTTTTAATAGATTTGAAATTTAAGTTAAGTTTTTACATTTGATAATATATAATACATAGATATTTGTTTCAATTTTGATATGTTTGAAAATATCATGATCACAATTTTTCATTATTGAATTTTAAAAATAATCTTAATATGTCAAATTTAGACATTATTTAAAAATTAATTTTTTGGTTTTGTTTCCTATTTTTACATTCAATTATTTTTATTTATATATTATTGTAAGATATTTAGTCATGTAGATATTTATCTCCAAACAGTTTGACATATTAATGTCTTGAATGACATCATGATAAACTAAATACAATCCATCACTTGAATGGTTGTATGTGGATGTAAAATTCACTAAAAGAGGAATGGAGACCCAGTAACTAAAAATGAAAATAGTGTAACATTGCAGAAATGTCAATTGATATGTAAATTGAAGAGAAACAATTACAAAAGTTGCAATAAGACGAGAGGAAAAGCAATTCATTGATGCCCATTTAGAACTGTATGACTTCTTCACACTTGTCACGTTGACAACATCTACCTAAGCCCCAAATAATCTGGATCTCGTATGTTCTGTTGGTTGTAGCGGGTGATTAGATATGTCACACACAGAGCAAATAATCCCATGTATACTCCATGTAAAAAGAGTATACATGACCTGTCACGCTTTACCGTGCCACAACTTTCCTCTCCGGTCGCAAGTGTAAGGGGACATATGAAGAGTGACCATAGAAAATTTGCGTATTAATAAACCTCTGCTTTACTAACGGGGAACTGAAACAATTTACTCGAATGAGGGCCAGACGGTTCTTGTAGACTCAAGAGTAAACACTAATCTACTCAACGAACACTTAAGTGTGACTACATTTGATTTAACATGATCCGATGTTCCACATAACTTGTCTCTTGCTTCGATTGCACAGCTGGTGGGAGATACTCCGACCTCAAATAAGGCTGTCGCACGTGGTCCCAAGCAAGAGTTGGTCGCTTGCATAGACGGTGCATTTGTTGTGTTCCGGTCTAATTCTATGGCGGTTTACTCAGCTCAGTAGTTGATATAATCATCAAGCTGAGCTACGGTCTCGTTCTATCTCAATCGACGATAAACAAGGTGAAATCTTGAGTCAAGTATTAAAGCAGCCAAATAGCAAAAAGAGAAAGTAGAGTGATCAAATACAATTCGCAATGCAAACACATCCTCTTAATTTACCAGTGAAAACCCAAACAAGCATGTAACCAAAATAAAAATAAATCTGCAAGTAGTCACTAATTTATAAATGATTATATATCAAATGTATGCAATGTTAACTTTTCATACTTGAGTGCCATAGAGACTTACTTTCATAATTTCTAGACACGACAAGTGCTCAAAATGTAATGAATGTAAACTATGTTACTTATCTCCAGAATTTGCAGGTGGCATTTCACATATTTTTCTCATTCAAGTATATCTCTTAGCAGCTCGTATCAACTTGGTATCATTACTTTCTATAACCTCTTTGTATCATTTCTTATCAATACTTGTTGCAAAACACTTTGTATCACTTCGTTATCCAAGCTAGTTTTTGTCCTACATTCAACACTATAGACCGTATTTTGGTTTTGCCTCTTTTATGGGGAAAATCCAAGGGAAATGGAAAATCTTTGTTTTGTGACTTCATTGATTTCAAGAAATATTTTGAGTTAGTACCTCCTGAGCTTTTATGGAAAAGATTACAAACCATTGGAGTACCATCAGATCTCTTAGCAGAGGTGGCCACATTATACCACTCCGTTCGGGCCAAGATCAACACTTCACAAACTCAATAGATTTTGAGTACCATTGGAGTCATACAAGGTTGTACTCTCTCTTCTACTCTCTTTGGAGTTTTCATAGATGATATAGAAAGGTGGTTAAAGGATTGTGAAAGTGAAGGTGTCAAACTTGGAAGCTTCGTCATCAAAACTCTTTTGTACACAAATAATGTTTTATTACTAGCACGTGATGCCATCAGTTTACAAAAACACCTTGACATTTTTGCTAGCTTTTGTACTCTAATTCTTTGTAAAAGAAAGAAAGTTTGGATCTAGTGTCCACAAGAATGACTTTTGACTTCTCCATATTGAACTTCATCTGATTTTGAGGTTTTGGAGTTCAATTCGGAGTGAAGAACTTCGGATGTGACTATGGAAAGCCCGTTGGAGGAAGGAGAAGAACAAAGAGGTGATACATAGGTAGAGACCTCGAGTCAGAGTCTTTGGCCTTCGGAGCAACCACACGTGACTTCGACAGAGGATACGGGGCCTTCGTATAAGGAGACTTTGGAGATACCCATAGAGTTAGCGGAGACGGCGGTGAAGCCCAATTCGATGAAGGAACTTATAGATCGAATGGTGGTGGACATGGAGAGTATTGTTGCAGAACAACATGCAATGCCTTCAGGTCAACTGTCTTCGAGTACAGTTGACTTGGACTTTGATGAAGGGCCTTTGGCTGAAGAACCCAAGTCAAGTGGATTCAATGCAGCTGATATGTTGAACGAGTGAGTGGTTTCCTTGCTTACATACTTGGATGGGAAGATGGAGAAGTACGTTGAACCATCATTAGTGAGATTCTACGTAGAGTTAGTGCGAAGTAGGACATGGGCAAAGGGAGGAAGCATCTGTGGAAGTTAATGAAAGAGTGATGAGCTTGACTTCTAAGTGCGCGACCGTGAAGGTTACCTTGCAAGAGCGGGAGAAGCAACTTCGGAAAAAGGAGTTAGAGTATGCCGAACTTCAGAAAAGTTTAGCAGCGGAAAAGGACCTTCATAAGACGGCGGAACTCGAGTTCGTGGGCATTCGGGTCGACATAATCAATGCTCATGAGGTAATGGTGGGACTTCAAGACAAGGTGCAAGTGTTTCGGAAGAATTTTGAGAGAGAATTGAAGCACGCGGAGGAGTTGACTGTAACTTTGGCGACGTGAGATCAATCGCATGCTGCAGTATTGGTGTTGAAGGCAAAGAAGTTGCAAGATTGCGAAGCTGCCAGGTCTTTTGAGTCAGAGCGTAGGAAGAAATTGGATGTAGATTGTAGCAAATTGTGATCTCAACTTTTGGCACTTGAGGAGCCATTGATCACGACTAAAGCGAAATAGATGGAGATGGAGGCGAGAGTCCAGCAGTTAGAGGGACGGCCGGATGCTGCGTTATGCGCAAAGGTAGACCGATGCCTTCGCGGTTATGTGGAGTGGGAGATTCAAACCCTAAAGTGGACAAAATTGAGTGAGCTGGAGCGCCGAGTGAAGGAATTGACAGTCAGCGGAGTCGTAGGGCAGCGGAAGTTAAGTAGGAAGCTCAATTCGTTTATCTCCGGTTTTGAGAAGATGAATGAGAATATATATTTAGAATTGTATGTTATTTTGAGTAGGATAGGAATAGATATGAGCTCAACGGGCGTGGTAACTGTCGTGTCTGCTAGTGTCGCACTTGTTGGGGGCTCACCGCTTAGCGGGTGATGTCTTCGCATGTTAGTTAGGAATAAAGAGTGCCAAGGCTCTGCCTTGGAGGACTTTTCCATTAGTTAATTTTTCAGTTTTCAGCCTGCATTCTTTTGCACGTGAGTGAATTGTGCATTTGGTCACCGTGTGCAAGTTACTTCAATTTGTCAAAAATACCGCATTTGAAGTAGAGGTTCCAAGTGGTGCATATTGTAGCTCAAGATTTAAGAAAATTTGTACATTGGAAGCTCGGTGTAGCCGACCGAGTGTGTAATCTTGGGAGTTTGATCATTATGTGATTAATGATCAAGATATGAATGGTACAAGTTATTTACAATACCGTGAAGCAAAACAATATCAGGTATTTTATCAAAATGATTGAGTTAGTCAAGATGGATGGTAGACTCTAGTGATTGAGCTAGTTAATCTTGACGATAAACTTTGATGATTAAGCTAGTCAAGATTGACGATAGACTTTGGCAATTGAGCTAATCCATCTTGACAAATAAACTATGATGATTGAACTAGATAATCTTGACGGTAAACTTTGATGATTAAGCTAGTCAAGATAGACGGTAATTTAATCTAGCTGATGGATTGGTCAAAGTTATTGTTGAGAGTTTCAAGCAACACTGTGCTATCATGCATGTTGTGCATGAGGAGTAGAGTTGGAGTTTGTTAACACAGTATCTTCAATAATCTCTTTATATATTTACTCTATCTTGTGATGGCTACGGTTTAATTCTAGTTAACCCTCGTGTAAAGAGGTGTCTTGTAATAGGTTTCTTTCTAGAACTTCTCACGGATTAATTATATGGGTTACAAAATTTCTGTTCTCTCTGTGCTAGCTAGTTTTCAACTCTTTATATTATTACTCTATCCTATTATGGCTACGGTTAATTCTTGTTTAAAGAGTGGCCTTATGTTAGGTTTTTATGTGGAACTTTCCGCTGAGTAATAAGGTATGTCATGTAGGTTACTGTTCCTTAACGTGAGTTAAAGAATAGTAATCTATTGTTGAGATTAACTCCATTTAAGGAGTAAGCTCGAGTCCTAGCTATAAATAGCTAGGACGGTCGTCTGAACATGGGATTAATATCTTGAAGTTCTCCTTGTATGAAGTCTTTATGACAAGACCTGGAGTAAAGTGCTGAGAGTTCTAGGTGGGCATAGCCCTCTTTCCCGAGGGTGAACCACGTTATTTTTGTGTCGCTGTGTCTCTCTTGGATTTTACATGAACAACGGCTAGTTATCTCTAGATTTGGGGCTAATTATCCCTCAATCTACTATACGGATGTCACTCATTGATTCACTCGGCTTATAGAATGAATGTGGGAAAAATAAACTTTGCAAGTTTTGATTCTTTTTTATCGACGTCAAAGATGCATGCGTGGCTTTTGCCACGGAGAAACCATGACTGACAGCTCCATGTGGGAGTAGTCACGTCAAAAGCTTGATGTCGATGGAGCTGATTGCAAAGATACATATATAGTCTTGTTCTAGCTTTAGAAACGCCTGCAAATCCGTGAAATATGAGGTGTCCGGAATCGTTTCGGCACCGCAGAGATTGCGTGGTGTGGAGGGAGTTAATTCCGTAGGATCGCCGAAATTGAGCACTGAGAAGGCGGGACGCAAAAGGCTGCTCAACGTGAATGCAATGAAGTGGCTGTGGCGGACAGAGCGACGGGACAAAGAAAATTGGAAGATATGTGGTTTCGTGTGTGATGTACGTCGAGGGATATGCAATTTTTTGAACTTGGTTTTTGCCGTGGTTTTTGTTCTTTCGAATTCAATGTCGAAGATCACTCATCTCAGGCGGAGACGATGCAGCTCAAATTGGAAAGCAGAACGCTGAATTCATCGAAGTTTTTTGGGATGGTGGAATTCTGAAGGGGCCGGGGAGCTTGCTAAGGCCCGAGCAACGACGAGATTTATGTGAGTCCAATACTGAATTCATCGGTCGTGGACCATGCTGCTTGTAGGTATAGAAGAAGTTGATGTGATCTTCATCGAGAGCAGAATCGGTGGGCTCTGTTGCGGAGGACTGCTCGCACGCAATGAAGACAAAGTGCTGGTGTTGGAGAGCCACACGATTGCCGGAGGAGCAGCGCATTCGTTTGAAATTAAAGATTTTCACTTTGACTCGAGGGCACATTATACTCTCGCATTGGCCCTTGGTTCTTCCATGGCTTTTGCCACTGAGGCATCTTTGACGTCATCAGAAAGACTGGAAACTACCAACATTTATTTTTTTCACACGAACTCAATAAGCCAAATGAACCAATGAAAAAAATTTGTATTGTAGGGTGAGTGTTATTTAGCCCTAGGTGAAGAAGAACTAGACGCCCCTACGATATATGGCAATACAAAATGTTATATGTTCTATTATCACAGCTGTCATGTGTATCGACGTTGATGTTGATTTGAAGTAAGACGTTAGATTTGAGTTTGAGGGTAGATACACGTTGGGACGCCCTACACGTTAGGACGTCAACGGGCTCGGGTTTTATAGGAGGCGAACTCGAAGAACTGTCAGTTCTTTGAGTTGAGCCTTTCGCGTCGGGGTTGATCCCCATAGCTTCAACCCTTATTCTACTTGCGAGTCGTGGGTTGGGCTCGACTCTTTGTACAGTTTGTGTTTCGACATTCATTTTACTCAAAGAACTGCGTCTTGTGTTGTATTTTTGTTTCTGATTGGAGATCGTAATTGATACCGGTTTGTGCAAAATTGTTTGTTTCGATCGAATAGGTCGTGCTCGAGGGCTTCGTCGATTGTGGGACGAGGTGTCAGAGCTGGCGCTCGAATTGTATAGGGCAGTAATCCACAGGTCTTCGTAAGCAAGATCGGATTTTGATATCTCAGTTCACCTTGAGAGGAAGGCCGCATTGTCAAAGTGTATTATCTTGGAGGTTCAGCTCAGCTCCTGGCATCGAAGGTGGTAAACTAATCGCCAGTGTACAGTGGAGTGGAGTATTGAGGTTGTGTAGAGCGGGGAGCAGTTCGACGCTGTAATTTCCAATGCGTTCGTGGCTTCTTTCCGAGTTTATCTTGCTTCACACCGGTGCATTGACCATAACTTATCTTTTCTTGGAGGGCGTGTATATTTTCTCCGCCTACAGCAGTTCTTGATCGAGCATATTCTGGGAGTTCCGGCTTTGGGAAGTTTGCCTCATCTCTAGTGCGCGACTCACGGAGCATGAACTAGGTTTGCACTGGGTTAGCGGAGAGCACTTTGCAGCAGGCCAGATTATTTTCAATGCAGACGTAGCAGGCCGTACCCTTGATGCAGCAGTGCGCCGAGGTCTCTTAGCTTTTCACTCCGCGTTGATTTTGAATCAAGAATAAGTCGCACAATTGTCCGAATTGAAAGCGACATCTACATCGGAGGAAAACCCAAATATTGAGAGAGACAGTGCGAGCTTCTAGAACTGTGCCTCAGCGTAAGCACAATGTTCGGAGTATCGAGATATGTATAGATGCCCAAGTGGTAGATGCACATCAGGGTGCGGAACAAAGGAAATCTAGGTCCCGAGGCAAAAATATTGGTGTTCGATTTAGAAGTGGCAATGCCGAACATGCGAGAGACATAGATTTTGTTTTATAGTGTATATTTAGTCAATATATACAGCAAGCACGCGATGTTTCGAATTGAATAATAATTATTATATCAGCAGTGAAAACAAATAAAAAAAATGAAAATGAAAAATTCAGAAGGGAGAAGAGTAGTATTCTGAAGAGATTGAGAATTTGCACTCGTCTCACTTACTATGGTTTTTTGATTGCGAAAACATTGTTCTCCTATATATATGACGTGGTCAACATTATACTAGAGTTTTTAGTGTTTCGTGTATGTGTTAGTTGAAGTGGTGGAAGTATACATTTCATCAGTATACTATTTCTTCTGGGGAATGGGTAGAGTTGGCGGACGTTTTAGATTCCTTGCCCTAGTAGAAGGGGAGAAGTGAGTTGTCGGACGAGACAATTTGGCAGAGATATCTTCTTGGCGACGCGATGCAAGAGATAGCAGTGGTGACGGAAGGTGACAAGGGGCGATGGAGCACGATTCGGGATCGTGATGCGAGGCGACTTTCCGTTGTTCTGTTGTTTTGTGATGTGTTTCATTTCGGCTGGAGAGTCGTTGCTAGCTGTTTGCTTGTGTTTGGATCCTCTCCAGTCTGGCTTCTTGATGCGCACCCATGTCTGGGTTGACGTTGATTTCCGGAGTAGTTTTACTACAGTGTGCTATCGATAGTGCGGCTGGATTTGATCACCGGCGCCTATCTTTGTTTCTCTCATGGTGAGACTGGAGTGATTACCAGTGGACCATGAGAGTCTTCTTGTGGTGATGACAGGTTAGGTTGCCCATACCCATAGTCAGTAGGGCTAGAGCAGGTTAGTGTAGGGACGAGGGCAGGTGGAGTTGTGGCAATGGTGCCGGTTGGTGAGTTAGTCATCACAGAGGAGTTTGGTGGTTCCGTTGAGGACCATGGAGGATTTACGTGGAGTGGGTTGAGGTATCGGCTACCTCATCCTAATGCAGCAGTGGTTGCAGAGGCGCAGGGTGTTGCGGACAGTGGATCTTTGGTGGGGATATCGTCTAGTGTCTCACACTCGTGGACTGGGGATATGGACGGGATGTACGGAGCCATGAAGGACCCACGACGGTACTTTGGTGCAGTTGGATGATTTCATCCAAGAGTTTGACACGTGGTGCGATATGCAGTTCTTGCGTAACCCCACGTTGTTTACACCCTTCTTTGCATGGAAGGGGTTGTTTCAGCATCTAGAGGGGCCTCCCATGGATGACTACCATGAGTTTGGGAGAGAGTGTGTTGTGGAGATTGACCCATGGAGGCGTCATTGGTCTCCAAACTATATGTCGATCACCAAGGGTGGTGTTGATATCAGTGCAGGTGCGAGTGGTAGCATCACCGATGGTACTAGTGGAGCAGGTACCACCAACGGTGCTGTTGGCGTTGCCAGCATGAGTAGGGAGATTACTGGCGTACCTTCGTTCAGCCCCATTCTTGAGTTCTTCAAGAGGTTGAGGAAGAACTATCATGGGGTGAGGACGGAGAAGTTGAGGAGTCTCTAGGAGTTTGAGCGGAAGACTGGTGAGAGTCTTCGGGAGGCATACACTCGTATGCGGCGGTTGATCTCAGTTACTCACGGTGGAACTGAGGCACAGGCGGTCCAGTATTGGTACTGGATACTTGACAGAGAGCTACGGCGGGGGTTCGGGATGCTACCCTCTTGAGCGATGCGTCACCAACATTGGCCTATGTGTTTGCTCTTTCTGAGAAGATTGAGCGTAACATAGTGGAAGAGAGAGTGGTGACTTCTTCATTCGCTAGAGACGCAGCCACTACTTCTCGTGTACCGCAGAGCACGGCACAGTCTAGACCCTTTGGTGGTGGTAGTGGTGGGAATCGCGGAGTGCAGACACGACACCAGACGGCCACTAGAGATACATGGGCACGTGCACCAGTGTCGTCGTTTGCTGGCCAGCAGCAAGGACCAACATGTTGGACATGTGAAGGGGATCATCTGCGGAGAGATTGTTCCCAGGAGGCCGGAGGTCAGAGTTCACAGGCCAGATCCAGTCAGCACAGGTGGTGTGTGACCATTGTGGTCGAGCAGGTCATACTCAAGATCGGTGTTTTGACCTTCATCCAAAGTTGACATCTGGTGGTAGAGGTCGTGGTGGTGATGCTTCTCGAGGTCGAGGTGGCCGTGCTGATAGAGGTGGTCGAGGTGCCGGTGTAGTTGGACGTCCTGTAGCGAGTGCTACTTCGGCCACAGAGAGCGCGATGGCTGCTCGGATTGAGCAGTTAGAGCAGAGGCTTTCTGCTATGGCGAGTTCTGGTGCGAGCACTTCCACCTCTTACGAGGAAGAGGATTTCCCTTATTTAGCGAGTGGAGCACAGGTGGAGGCATCGGTTGCAGTGATTAGAGGTGCAGCTCGAGCTCTAGAGCCACGCGGTGCGTTAGAGGAGTTGGATCCTCAGAGGGGTGAAGGTGGGCTTCAGGCCAAACTTCCCCAGTCGTTTTTGTTGTCAGAGATGGGCAGTACTTCATCCATGAGACCTGTACCACCTAGTGACCTTAGTGGGAGGACTGAGACATCTACGTCACATGTGGTGGACACGGACACACCATCTAGTGCAGTGACGCGGAGTGGCTAGCTTAGTGATGAGATCTCCACTATTTTCAGCTATGGAGCTGATGGACTCTAGGATCGACTTGGCTCGGGTTTTTCGTGGAGCAACCACGTTGTGTGAACGTGGAAGTATCATTGCTACGAATGCCGAGATATGCGAGACTATTGGTGAGGAGCTATCCTCTACGACTCCATCGAGCAATGAGTCGACATGGCAGGCGACAGCAGCACGGATGGAGTCCTTGCCAACCCGACCAGCCATTGATCGGGAGAGGGTTGTCCCTGGTGTGTGTATGGTGGACAACCGGAGCGGTGTTTTTCGCTTGGTGAGTGCTACCGGGCAGGTGTATGTCCCAGCCAGAGTGTTGCTGGATTCTGGTGCACATCCTTTGATGTTGGACAAGATTGACTGCATTGGTTTGAGAGTTCGGAGGTCCGAGTTGGAGCCTTGTCCGTTCCAGATTTAGACATCACTCGGTGGCACCAGCGACAGGTCTTACAGGATGACTAGAGAGCGCATATCATTGTAGTTGAGGCATGATCATGCTCATGATAGCTTGTAGTTTGGAGTTCGAGCGGTGGTTACATCAGCAGAGTCATATGATGTGCTTGTTGGTGGAGCGGGGTTATATATGATGGGATTTTGGATGGATTATTGGACGGAGACGGCAGCTTATCGCCCTGGTTGGGAGTCCGGTGATGGACGTATGAGTGAGCTACCTGTGAGGTTCATTTTTTGAGATCGACCTCTTGGATCTTCTCCTGCAGTTTTAGCCTCTATTGTGGATTTTAGTGGAGTGCTCACATGGCTTGATGACTTGTTGGAGGATTCTCCAGTCTATGAGGAGATGGAGGAGATTGTGAGCCTCGCAGCGGCAAGGTCATCACCTTTGGATGTCCCACTTTGGAGTTATTGCCGGGCTTTACAGCAGGAGGCGGATAGGTTGGTGAAGAAGGCTTGGAGTGAGGCCTCTTTACCAGTAGAGGCAGAGCGAGTTTCAGGTGGTCGGCTAGTATGTGGTCCTTGCACGCTATCACCATTGATTACCACACCTATTGTATGGGAGTATTCCCCAGAGGATGTTTGTTTGCTGGATCTTTTTGAGTGGATCAGCACAGGTTTGGCTGCAGTTTTGCAGTCAGGTATTCTCGTACGTAGATACTTGTACGTGGAGAAGGACGATACGGCCCGTCGAGTTTCTTCACGACATGTTACACAGTTGATGCGGCGTTTTCCTTTGTTGTTGCCGCGATCAGCAGTTCGAGGATACCAGAGGGCGTTGCCTTCCGACATTTCATTGTTGGGGGCGCCAGACCTTGATCGAGTTGGACATATCGATTTGGTGATTGCGGGATGGCCATGTCAGGGCACACAAGCGCTAGGCATGGAGCGGGTTTACATGATTCTAGATCTCGGATGTTCTGCAAGATGCTACGAGTGTTACGTCATCTTCAGGAGCAGCAGACACGTTTTCCAGCATACATTCTAGAGAACGTACCGTTGTTGGGTGACACTCGGGCTCAGTTGATGGCGAGTGTCCATGAGGTCAGGGCATGGATTGGATCTCCCGTGTTGTTGGATGTTGCGAGGGTTGACTCACGTGTTCATCGTGCACGTTTATGGTGGACCAACCTTGTACCACGAGAGATATTGCGTCATGCGTATGATTCTGTGCATCGTGATCCTACACTTACCGTTGACAGGATCTTGGATATCTCTTGATAC